CCTCCCGCCCCCGGCTCTGGCTCCTCCACGCCTCGCCGCCGTCCCCTTCCTCCCAGGCCTTCCAAACCTCCACGTAACCCCCAGGCCCGGGCACGCTGCGTCCGGCCCTGCAGAATCAACCCGGGATTTTTTGTTTTTTTTGTTTTTTTGTTTTCTCTTTTTTGTGGAAAATCTGACCCAAACCGTGGTTTCTTAAAATGGGTGTGTTTGCCCCCATTTTAAGTAGAAAAATGTTTAGGCCTTTTTTTTTCCCCTGAGAGACCTCCATTTTGTTAAATGACTTAATAGAGGTTTTCTTAGTAAATAATGACAAGTTTTATTATGTGCCCTAAACAGAACTATTTTGGAAACAGTTTGATGCCCACTGAAGTAGGGTTGAAGGAAACAAAGGGCTTTTTTGCTGTTTTTTGTTTTTGTTTTTGTTTTTATTCCAAGACAGGGTTTTCCTGTGTAGCTTTGGAGCCTGTGCTTTTGACAAAATTCAGTGAGGTTAGAATCCTTATACAGAGTCATCTACGTGTTGGATTATCCTGTGTTCTAGATAATTTCTAAAGTGATGAAATGTTGCTTTTGGGGGATAATTACTAGTATTGTACATTCCAAATAAAGTTCAGCACTTTCTTAAAGACCATTCCAAATCCTGACTTGTAAAAACTCGTTTAGGCAAGTTTCTTAGCGATTAAAAGTTTTTTGTTGTTGTTAAATCTGACTTGCTAGAAAAGGGAAACATAAACTTAGCTTAGTGTAAATTCTGTTGAATTAGTTTGAGTGCTTTGTCGAAAAATACGGGAGAAGATAAAACATTTCAAATCTTTAGCAATACTCACAGCTTTCAATGAATGGTAGAGTTTTAATAGGGGACTTTTCTTAGTAGAACGTTAAGATAAATGGGGTGGGGCAGACTTACTCTTACTCTATAAAGAGAAGGGAAAGCTGGGAAGAAATTAAGATTGATTCATGTAGTAAGCAGTCCCCTGAAAGTTATGTTAATTAAAAATGCCACTGGAATATGTAACTTCATATTTGGGTGAGAATGTTTACAATTGCAGCATGTCTTAACATCTTAACATGTTCCTTTTCCTTCATAAGTGAGGGTATTAAAAGGGGTTTCATACAGGATCCGAACCCTTTTCATCTTTGTAGTAACATGGTAGAAGGTTTGAGGCTTCATGCAGTCTTTTTTTAATTTGGATGGATGCCATTATTGGTATCTTTTGCATAGGTAGGATTCCCTTATATTACTCCAGAGGGTAGTTTGATCAAGGTATCTATGACCTATCAAGGTAACATTTCTCTGATAATAGCCCCTCTAGCGCTGCAAAACTGAATTATTACAATATGTATGTATATGTATAAATTTCTCTCTGTGTTAGTCCCAGCAGGGAGCTGGATTCTTAAAATTCATTGTATTTAAAGTTACATTTGTCTCTGTTACTGGGTTTTTTTTCCCCTCCAGACCAATTGAATTTATGGATGAACTCATGCTTATGAGTAAATAATAGTATTTAGTTGAAATCATTGGATTTTCAGTGCTGTATTGATTCAGAAGAAACCTCAATTCTGGCCTGGTGGGAAGCTGAGGCAGGAGGATTTCAGTGAGTTCAAGGATAGCCTAGGTTACATAGTTGCAGGTTAGTTTGAATTAGGGCAAGACCCTGTCTCAACAACAACAAAACAGGAGCAACTACATGTATGGAAAAGTGGAAAGAGACCATTGAATATTTACCCAGGGTGGTAGTGCAGTGAGACCTTAGCTTAGTAAAACAAAAGAGAAAAAACTTTTAGATACCCTTATTCTTTCATGTATGCAAGATAATATAACATGCTGTCGTCTTACCACATATTTAATGAATTTGTAATTCAGAGCCTTGAAATAAAATCAGAATTTTTAGTTTTTTTTGGTGTACAGGAAACTTAAGGTTATCTGAGGATAGGGAATCATAGGTGTATCACTGAATAGTGCTGTGTAATTTGAACCATATAATGGGAAGCCTTGTGTTACACACACGGACAGCTTACCAAAAACTCGGGTGTGTGTTTGACTTTAAGAGGTAGAAATGGGGACCCAGAAAGTGGGAGACAGATGGAAAAGGTAGGTGAGGTTTTTGTCCCTATAGACTATAAATAGATTGTTTTGGGTAGTGGTGCCTAAGGTGGCAGTTTTAGTGTTGAATTTGTGAAGGATTCTGAAATAGTAAAGGAATCCTGGGTCTCTGGGAAAATGTTGCTCCCCCTTTCCAAAGATTTCTTCCCCTTTACTTTTCTAAAAGAGTTTTTAATTCCTTTTTAAGTTGCTTGAAAATTTAAGACTCTTGGTTAACTGCATCTTCAGTTGCTTAAATCAGCCAATTACTTGGGTGACTCAAACCTCATTAGAAATTAAGGTGGTAGGAAAATAGGTAACTCAGATTATTGGGCACTTCAAGAAAGGATAGCCCCTGGTTGGGGGAGGGGTATTTGGACAGTCAGAAGGGCAGCATGGTGGCAATGGGAGGTTGGGCAGGGGGATGACCAGGAGGTGGGAGAGAAATGAACAAGGGAGATGGGAGGGCCAAAGACAAACTTTGCCTTCTTTGCAATTTTGCCTAGGGCCCTGGTGGTGGCAACCGCCTGTGTGCCACTGAAAATCGTGCCGATGCCTGGCATACTGCATAAATGGAAGCAGGGTACCGCGTGAGTTGAAACATTGGTCACACTATATAAAGTTTGTATATGTGAATCAGTGTAACTCAAACCCATGTAACTGGGGGTCTGTCTGTATTTGGAATTTTCTAATAAGGCATCATAAGTTAAGGAAAAGAACACTGGGCTGAGACTCAGGAGACCTGGTTTCTAATTAGAAGCTTGGGTAAGTCACATAACCTTTTTGCTTCAAGTTAAATCTATAATTTGTTATATTAGAAGCCATATAATTTCCTGTGTTAACACTAAATAATGTTGAATAAACAGTTTTTTTTAAGAAAATTACAAGTAGATACCCATTAGTAGTATTTAAATCTCAAATTTAAAGATTAATTACATTTAAAAAAATCTCTGTAATTAGAAAAGAGAGATAATTTGTTTTCCCTGAACATATTCCAGATGATAGCAGGAAGGACCACAGAGGAAATTTAAAGAAGCATTTTGAGAATTGTTTTTGTGGCAGTTGGGAGAAAGCAGTCCAGTGCCCTCAGACAGATCATGGTCATTTTGACTAGACTGGATTAATTGCAAGAATGTCCCTTGGCATAAAGCCTCTTTGTGATCACATAGCTTGGTTATAAGTCTCTGGCTGATTCCTGGAAGACTTAGGGAAAAAATTGGGGTGGCCTGTAACACCATCCCCACCCCCAGTGGTAGGGATCAAACCCTGGGCTTTGCATATGCTAGGGAAGCTCTGAGCCACTTGAGTTGTGCCCTTAGGGTTAGGAACTGGGCCTAGATTACACCCTAAATATACAAGTGTGAAGTTAGAGAAGGTTGCTCTGAAGTTACCATGAAAATTACTTTAAGTGGGAGCACAAACCATTTCTGAAAGGTTAAAATGAACCAGGAATGATGGTGTATTTTCAGAAGTGCCTTGAAGCCAACCTATAGAACCAAAGTATAGATCATAGAAATACAATTGTTTGGTATCATCCATGATAATGGGTTGTTTGATCAGACTAAAGTTGCCCACAGCTGGGGATGTATGTCAGTGGTGGAGCACTTTCCCTGGCATTTGCAACAACCTGTAGATTCAATCTTGAGTGCCACCTTCTCTTGTGCCTCTCTCTCTTGGGAAGTAAAGTCTACTTCAGTGGCTCAGTATCTCCACAGGGCTCTGCTTTGTCTGTCAGGGGTGTCAATCAGTGTTCCCTGAGTAGTAGATTATTATTGCTGTACATGGGGCTCCTCCTCATTTGGAAGGATGAAGCAAGAGGATCAGGAGTGTCCCAGACTCAGCTACATAGTTGATTTGAGGCTACCCTAGGCTTCCTGAGACACCATCTCAAAAAGCCAAATCAACAAAACACCAAAAACATACCAAAAAAATTTTAGATGATTTTTGCTATTTGTGTAGTAATTTTACTTACTGAACTGTATGATAATACTTCATCGGTTAATACAGGATGCTAATCTTAACTGCTAATTAGTTATAGAATGTGTGATAACATAAAATTGATAGGATAATTATTTAGGTAATACACCTTGGAAAATGCAGTTCAGAAAGTAATTTATCTGTTCCTAACACAAGTTTAATAATAACTCATACACCTACATCTGTGTCGAACATTACTGTGTCTCTGCAAAATTATTGAATCAAAGATTTGTAATCCCCATCCCTGTCTGGTGCCCCCCCATGGATTATCTGTAAAAACATCTTTATTGTAATTTGTGTTTCTCTTGTCATCAACACACATATGCTCTTCATTTTTTCCTCATCTTAATGAATCTTATCTTGGTCAGTTGTAAGCCATCCTTTTATCATACTTGTTCATTTCATTTTAAGTAAAGGAAGTAAAGCCTTTAATGTACATGTACACATTTAAAAAACACAATAATAGCATATTTCATAGTCTAGAGCATGTACATTCTTTAACATAAGAAATTTTAGCAAACTTAAGGCCAGTTTTCCTGTGTCTGTAACTATTTGATTTTGTCAGTGTTCAGGAGTCTCCAAAACATTCTAAGCTCAGTTAGCACTTGGATAGTGAATCGGTTAAAGGCCCCCCTCCATTTTGCATTTTGAACTTTAAATAATATTTCTATCTACAGAGCAGCCCAGAAAACAATAAAAATCTCACCTCCTAGAACCCTGTTGTCTTGGAATCTCTGCAGTTGTTTAGCACTCCTCAAGTAAGCCTATGTTTCTGAGACAGTATTTCAGGTAAAAAAAATTATTTTGTATGTGTAAGCACTGTAAGTGGCAGATGTGTTTCTTGGTAAAGAAGGATGTCAACTAAGAATAAAGAGTTTTTAGTGTGGGGACTACAAGAGTAAGTCCGTGTTACAGTCATGCTCAATCATTGAATGTCTGTTCAGTAACAGGCTTCTTACAGTGCAACTTGAAGTTGCTGATGGTTCAGACAAGCAGCAGGATTGAACAGTATAAAAGGCTTAGCACTAAATGGCCGTCAGTAAGTGTGGCAAGACCAGATAAATGAGGTAGATGAGCCTCCAGCTGGACAGTGACACATACCTGTAATCCAATCCCACCACTTGAGAGGCTGAAGCAAGAGTACCTAGAATTCCATCTAGGCTACCCTACTGAGTGAGAGCTTGTCACAAACAACCCCCCCAAAAAAAAAAAAAAGGTGAAATTGTGAACCTGGAAGGATTACATCTGTAATCCTGTACCGCTTGGGAGGCAGAAGCAGGAAGATGGTGAGTTTGAGGTGAGCCTAGGTTACAAATTTAAAAAAAAAAAAAAAAAGATGCCTGAAGCGGGTCTGTGCTGCTGCTTTTGAGGAAACAGAGTTCTACCCACCCTAATCATTCTACAAAGAAATTGTAGACTAAGAAGATGAAAGAAGGTGAAACATCTTGCTGGAGGAAAAAATAATGAGGGAGAGAAAGAAACAGGGTAAGTTTCTGACAGGAATCTTTTGGCTTTAGCACCCCCCCCCCAAAAAAAATGTGTTCCTGTTTGGGTGTAGGTGGATATGTGTCTATGCTTGCATGTGTGCATGAGGTATGTATGTATAGAGGTCAGGGAACAGCTTCTGATGTTGTCACCCTGGCCCAACATCTACCTGCCTGTGTCTCACTAGGCATTTACAAGTGTGTACCATTGTGGGTTGATTAAACTCCAGTCAGTCCTTGTGCTTGTAAGATAAGCACTTAGCAGTAAGTTAATGCCACAGCTGTTTGTTTTATGCTTGCCTTGGAACTCCTATACTTAGGCAATCCTCTAACCTTAGCTTCCCAATAGCTGAGACTATAGGCAAGTGTCATTGGTTCTTTTGGGTTAAATGGTCATTTACTAGCAACTAGCAGCTGCTTGGGTAGAAATGGGATGGCAAGGCTAAAATAGATTAATTTTGTAGGATTATTGAAGATATAGAGGAAAGTATTTTTTTAAAAATTAAAGTTTACATCATGTTTTTGATATAGCTGAATAACTTAACAAGTCAAAAGCATCAGAAAGTAACATAGTTGATTAAATGTCATATTTGTTTCTTAACATTGGCCAGAAAAAGAACTTAATTTCTTTTTTATAGAAAACACTCTATTGACCCATATGTTCTAATTTAGTTGTGAACCATGTACAACTGATGTTTGACCTATTTGACTCATCGTGAAAAGAATTTAACCAGCTGCCCTTGCTGAATCTTTTGTCCTGTCTCAAGAATCTGGTAAATTGCTTGTTTTTATTTTCTTGAGACCTCAGATTTCTGTAGGCCTCAATTTAATATTTTCAACTATCCAAAGCTTTGCTTTTCAGTAGGGAGGGTGGATATTTATGGAGGATGCACACTGTACCAAGTTTTGTGTTGTATTTTGTCCTGTTGTCTATGTATTATCCCTTTTCAAAGCATTTTTCTTCCCCCCCCCCCCCCCCCCCCCCCCCCCCCAGGATTTCTCTGTGTAGCTTTGGAGCCTATCCTGGCATCTGTAGACCAGGCTGGTCTCGAACTCACAGAGATTTGTCTGCCTCTGCTTCCCAAGTGCTGGGACTAAAGGTGTGTGCCACCAGTGCCCGGCTAGAAGTAGGAATTCCTATAACCCAGGATGACCTTGACTTTCAGATCTTCCTTTCCTGAGAATGCTGGAATTTTAGGCATGGACATGCAGTTTTATGTGATGCCTGGGTATCAAACTGAGGGCTTCATGCATTCTCGGCAAGCATTTTTCAAATACTCATTTGACCAGATATAGTGGCTCATACCTGTAATTTTGCCCAGTGGGAGGCTGAACAGGAGCATTTCTATGTTTTAGGTCAGCTTGGGCTACAGAATGAGACTGTCTCAAACCCCAGACACCCCCCCCCCCAATCAAAAGCATTTGTTGGCTCCTGTTCTCACATTGTTTTCCACAGGAGCCACAGTTGCATTCCTGTCATCTCTTTAGAAATTCAACCTATCCATCCCCAGGGTTTCTTTTGTAGCCCTGGCTGTCCTGGAATTTTGCTCTGTAGAAAGAACTCTTAGAGCTCTGCTGCCTCTGCTGGGATTAAAGACGAATACTACCACGCCCAGCTCAAAATCTTATTCTTGAAGTGGAGGCTAGCAATTATGTTTAATAAGTTTTATGACGATTTTGTGTTTTGTTTTGAAACTGAATCTGTGTGGGCTTGAAATTCCTTATGTAAACTGGCTGGCTTGAAACAGAGATCCACCTCTCCCTGTGTCCTGGAGTACTGACATTACAGGCATGTGACACCATACCTGGCTCTTACAGTTTTGATGCAACTAAAAATTCAAGAAACCCTGTTGTAGATAAATGTTTACCATCCTTATTGTTTTTTTTTTTTAAACTGTTTAGTATTACTATTTTTTTTTTTTCTTTTTGGTTTTCATGACGGGCTTTCTCTGTAGCCTGGCTGTCCTGGAACTCTCAATATAGAACAGGCTGGCCTAAACACAGAGATCTGCCAACTTCTGCCTCCCAGGTGCTGGGATTAAGGGGATGCATCACCATGCCCAGCTTAGTTAGACTCTTGTCGCTTAGGATTCCATATTCTAAATATTAGAATTTGTCAGGCATATTAA